GGTAACCCCCTTATATTCTTTCCAAAATGGGGAAGGTCGGCTAACCGCCTTCCCCCCATTGCCACCTCATACTAATCAACACATACATGCATACAAACATGTATGCACACATACACTTACACCCATTTTTAACCATATAAATATATATACACCTATGCATGCATTCATACTCCACATATATATATATATATATATATTATATTCCATACACATATATATCATGTATGCACACACACACATATATATATATATATGTATCAATATATATATATATATATATATATTTTCATATTCAAATAATGCATAAATGCACATATCCGCACGTAGCAAATTATCATGCTATCACGAAAATCATTTAGTCAAATATTCACGTATAAATTACCTTGGGTAATAACCTGGATCCGGTTATTACATTCATTGATGTTATTTTAATGTTAACTTTTGTTTATGGAATTAATGTTATATTGATGTTAACTTTTGTTTATGGAATTAATGTTATATTGATGTTAACTTTTGTTTATGGAATTAATGTTATATTGATGTTAACTTTTTGTTTACCAATTTGCCCTTATCATTGAAATAAAATAATTTTTTAATATTCTTTATTTTTTAATTTCCTAAAATAAAGTAAACTAATCTTAGCCATTGATCAAGAAAATGGACAGATGAGATTGGTTTACACGGTTTACACAAATGGGGCAAGTTTTTATTTGAACGCTCTTCTATATATATATATATATATATATATATATATTGCACAACATGGTAGAAAATCATGATTAAAAAGAAAAAAAACCACGCGTCTCTTATTATTCAAATGGGGTGGGTTATAAATTAAAGACGTGACTATTTTGTAGAAAGAAAAAGACCATAAAATTCATTACATGTTTATGATGGTTCAAAGCGTGTTTAGTTGATGATATTAACGAGTAATGAATGAAAATCTGAGTGTTTGGTATTGTATTATGCGATTAATAATTAACTTAAAGGATTAAAAAACCGTTCCACCCTAAAATCATGTATATAGGATCAGAGGTGCTCAAAAAAATTGACCAACCTCATCAACCAAATCCAAAGAAACCCAGAAAAAAATCAACTCGAGATAACCCGACACATGGTTGATACAAAATTATGTCAATCCAAGATGTCAACAATGTATAAATGTCTTAATAGACGGTTTATATATAGGATCAAACAACAAAGGTTTTTTTATCTAAAATTGTTGTAATCAGTTTATTGGATGTTTTAGGCGTCTTAACAAATTTTTTAGAACATCTTTAAAATAAAACGTCATATTAGTTATTTTATAGGACACTATCTGAACAAACCACTACAACAAAATTGGGTTTATAGGATGCCCCCAATTTCTAAGCGTCCCAATAGAATACTTTATAAGACTTAATTTATAGGACCAAAATATAAAGCGTCATAACTAAAGACGTTGTAATAAGTTTATATGACGTTTTTACATGTCTTAACAAGTTTTTTAGGATATTTTTAATATAAGCGTCGCATTAGCAACTTTGTATGACACTTTTGAGAAAGTGTCCTATAAACTCAATTTTTTATAAGACACTTGTTTTATAAAACGGTTTTTTCAAATCGTGTCCTATAAAACGTCATATTAGTTATTTTATAAGACATTATTTGAACAAGCTACTACAACAAAATTGGGTTTATAGGACACCCCCAATTTCTAAGCGTCCCAATAGAATACTTTATAAGACTTAATTTATAGGACAAAAATATAAAGCGTCTTATCTAAAGACGTTGTAATAAGTTTGTATGACGTTTTTACATGTCTTAACAAGTTTTTTAGGATATTTTTAATACAAAGCGTCGCATTAGCAACTTTATATGACACTTTTGAGAAAGTGTCCTATAAACTCAATATTTTATAAGACACTTGTTTTATAGGACGGTTTTTTCAAATCGTGTCCTATAAAGCGTCATATTAGTTATTTTATATGACATTATTTGAACAAGCCACTACAACAAAATTGGGTTTATAGGACACCCTCAATTTCTAAGCGTCCCAATAGAATACTTTATAAGACTTAATTTATAGGACCAAAATATAAAGCTTCTTATCTAAAGACGTAATAAGTTTATATGACGTTTTTACATGTCTTAACAAGTTTTTTAGGATATTTTTAATACAAAGCGTCGCATTAGCAACTTTATATGACACTTTTGAGAAAGTGTCCTATAAACTCAATTTTTTATAAGACACTTGTTTTATAGGACGGTTTTTTTCAAATCGTGTCCTATAAAGCGTCATATTAGTTATTTTATATGACATTATTTGAACAAGCCACTACAACAAAATTGGGTTTATATGATGCCCCAATCTTTAAGCGTCCCATTAAACCACTTTATAAGATTTAATTTATAGGATCAAAATATAAAGCGTCATAACTAAATGCGTTGTAGTAAGTTTATATGACGCTTTTAGGTGTCTTAACAAGTTTTTTAAGACATTTTAAATATAAGCTTCGCATTAACAACTTTATAGGACACTTTAGAGAAAGTGTCATATAAACTCAATTTTTTATAAGACACTTGTTTTATAAGTCGGTTTTTGAAATAGTATCCTAGAAAATTGTTAACGAGACGTTTTATATTAAAAGTGTTCTAAAAACTTATTAAAACGTCATATAAACTTATTACAACGCCTTTAGATATGACACTTTATTTTTTGGTCTTATAAAGAGGTCTATTAGGACACTTAGAAGTTGGGAGCGTCCTATAAACCCGATTTTGTTGTAGTGAACGTCTTACAAAGACAAGTCCCCTATAAAAATAAGTTCAGAATGTCCTAAAAGCATGTTAATTAGATAGGAAAAACGTTGGGAAGTTAGAACAATAATGATAACTGGTAGAGTTTTAACAAACGTATACGTATAAAGAAGCCAAGTTGGTTAAGACATCGACATGCATTAATATTTTGTTCGTTATAAAAGCATGATCAAACTTGACCACTCTACGACTAATCTCTAATTAGCTAATCAAATCTAGCCACAAACTTAGAGTTTAATTGCCAATTGCATTAATGTCAAACAAACACCAAGATTAATCGACAATCAAGTGCCGATTGTTTAAATTAGATTATACGATCTTACAACATCAACAGTTAACATAAATATCAATTGTGTATTGTGTGCTACTTAGAAAAACCGAAAAGCAATTACGGACTTAAAAGTTCATCTAGAGACTCGAAAATCGGACCTTGGATCTCCTTCTGAAAATTGACAGAGAGCTCCGAAAATCTGGAAATCTGCTTACTGTTTCTTCCCGATTTCTGGTTCTAGTTCCTCTCGACCGACAACTTCTGCTGATTGATTTCTGATCAATCCCTCTCCCGATCGGCTTCATGCCTTGCTCCCTCCTTCTCGACAGTTTCCAGTTTTGCTCCCTCTCAATCGATCGATTTCTGCCCTCTCTCTGTTTCTGGTTCTGCCCTCCGATTTCTATCCTCTGGTTCTCGTCCCCGTCTCGCTCTCCTCGACAGTTTTTCCAATCGATCCCAGAAAACCGCCAGACGTGGCTGCTTTTTTCGGCTGCTGTTTGTGGGTTGCAGCTTCATCATTATAATTCCATATCTGGAACAGCATGATTTCATGAAAACTTGAACCCTTTTGATCTCTACAATTAGCACCCCCAAGAAAGATTGAATGTGAGTCGAAATGTTGGACGATGAAAGAAACTACACCAAAATCTATCCTCTTTTTGCACCAACCAAAAATAAGATTAAGGGGGTCTATTATCTATTAAATCATGATAAAGTGTAAGAGATTTTGATATAAGACTGAGTTCAAATACGCATTTATCAAACACTGTTCATGTATGTACGTATATATGTAACATATATATAGAGATCCTAATTGACATTTTGTTTAATTACATTTCAGGAGTAGCATGAAGAATCAACGGTGTAGGGTGTTTAAAGATGAAACCACGCCATTTATCCAAGTCCTCATGCATGGATGGACGATAACTTCAATGAAATACCGGTAACAACGATGTTGATAAATTCAGCTTCATACCTATGGTTTCTTTGTAGACCTCAATTAGTGCTCGAAAGATATGCATTTAAGGTTCAATTTATATGAAATCATGAGTAATGTAAAAAAAAACCACCTTTGAATAGTACTCAACCACAGAAAACTTCTTCATATTAACATATGCATCTGCTGAGTCCATTCTTGAATGATAACTTCATAAAGATGACATCCCTGAAGAAACAAAATGAAGCATGTATAAAGAAATAGTCATGCAACAGATTGATATCCCCACTTGATTCATGTCAAGAATAAGTAAGAACCTCATTTTCAGCCCCCTCTTCATCTCTGCATCATGTTATTGATGCAGTGCAGTAAGATCCATTCGTGCCAAAAAGAGAAAATATGGTACAGTATAGTACAGCAGCCTCCCGTAGTTGTAGTTGTGGTTGTTCCGTCTTCTGATCGAACAATTTTCAGACCTCCTAACAATAAAATGCTCAGGGAAGATTATTTATGCATGTACCTTGTATATCCAACTTTTTTAAACATCCTAAACGTCCAAGTTCCTCTGGCAATTTCTCAACGCTAATAGAATCGTGGAGACTGGGATACTTTTAGACTTTTCAACCTACATATGCTGTTCGGAATATCTCGTAAAACTAGACACCGTGCTAGTATTAGCCACGTTAAACATTCTAATTGACCAAGATCCTCAGGGTAACTTCTCAAGAAGCTCACAGTCATAAAATGCTAGAGATTCCAGATGTTTCAACATAGAAATGCTATCTGGAAGATGTTTAATCTTTTTAGATGTGAAATTTAGCTTCTCCAAACATTCTAATCGGTCAAGATCCTCTGGTAACTTCTCAAGAAGCTCACAATAAAGTTCGAAAGATTTCAGATGTTTCAACTTGCAAATGCTATAAGGAAGATGTTTAATCTTTTTAGACTTGAAAGTTAGCTTCTCTAAACATTCTAATCGACCAAGATCCTCCGGTAAATTCTCAAGAAGCTTGCAAAAAAGTGTGACAAGTTTCAGATGTTTCAACGTAAAAATGGTATCTGGAAGATGTTTAATCTTATCAGACATCAAAAATAGATCCTCTAAACATTCTAATCGACCAAGATCCTCCGGTAACTTCTCAAGAAGCTCCCAGTTATAAAGTTTGAGAGACTTCAGATGTTTCAACGATAAAATGCTATCAGGAAGATTTTTAATACTAGGAGACGACAAAGTGAGCTGCTCTAGACATTGTAAGTTGTCAAGGTCTTTAGGCACCTCTGGAATATCGCATTCAAGTCTAAGGTATCCTAAGTGCTGTAAACCACAAATGCTTCCGAAAAAACTCTCAAGGTCTGTGCAAGCACAAGAGGAACCTACCGAAATAAGCTTCTCAACATTTCCAATCAATGAGGGTAGATCTTCCCAATATGTACAATCAAACTGAAATTTTGGGATATTATCATCGGGGTGCAATGGGCATATATCTATCAACTTTCCATGCAGATCTAAGCTGGATAATAATCCATAACATTCCTCAATATTTAAATTTGTAAACCTCAAAAAACCTTTTGCTTTTAAGTTGGTGAGCTTTTTTAGACCTCCATGGGAGCAAGAAGTTTTACCAAACTAGAACATTCTTCAAGATGTAAACTCTCGAGATTTGGAGTTCCCCCAAGGTCAAGGTTCTTCAACTTTGAACATCCTTTGATGTCCAGAGATTTGAGCATTACATCTTCAACGGGGATGTGAAGTTCTACCAAAGCACAAGATGTAAGAATCAACTTCTTGAGATTACGGGTCAACTCAAGGGTACTCAACTTTGAATTAATCAGTTCGAGGTGTTTGAGTTGTTGACATCTGAAGGAAACGAGAAGTTGTAACAAATCATCATGCCCATCAAGAGCCAAAGCCTCAAGATTTCGAGTCATCCCAAGGTCAAAGGTCCTCAACTGTGGACATCCAAGGCTGAGGGTTCTTAGTTTGCAACATTCATCGTGCATGCGAAGTTCCACCAAATTATAACATCCTTGAAGATTCAATGTCTCGATATTCGGAACCAACCTAAGGTCAAGGGACCTCAACTTTGAACTACTCAGGTCGATGGACGTAAGTTGTGGACATTTACATGGCATGACAAGTTCTACCAAATCACAACATCTATTAAGATTCAATGTCTCGATATTTGGAACCAACATAAAGTCAAGGGACCTCAACTTTGGATTACTCACGTTGAGGAATTTGAGTTGTGGACATTCACATGGAATGTGAAGTTCTGCCAAATATGAACATTCCATAAGATTCAACGTCTCGATATTCAGAACCAACCTAAGATCAAGGGTACTCAATTTTGAACCACTGAGGTTGAGGGATTTGAGTTTCGGGCATCAAAGAGACATGTGAAATTCTACCAAAACACGACTATGTTTAAGATTTAATATATCAAGATTTGGAGTTAGCCCAAGGTCAAAGGTCCTCAAATATGACCGAGGGAGTTCAAGGAATCGGAGTTTGTGAAGAACCTATCATAAGAAAAAGAAAAGATGGATATTGTGTAATAAGAGACCAATAGATGTGTAGTGTCATAACAAATGATGCAAAAATATAATTCAGCCATTACTCTCTTTCTCTCTCCCCCTTCCCAAAGTTGTTCCATGTAAGGAATTTTAAGAGCAACAAGATTACTTGCTTGAAATGTTTTCAGTAAAACACGTAAAAAGCCAAGTTCCAACTTTAGATATTGCAAAGAATCTGGTAAGTATTGGACATCTTCATCACCTTCATATATTGTGTAGTTGATCATGTGAAGAAATCTAAGTTTCTCCATCTTTCTAAGGCCTTTCGTAATAGTTTTTTTTCTTTTCGTCGCCAACAGCTCTATACATGTTGCTTCAGTTCCCTGAAATCCAAAAGAATTGACCATGAAACTTAGGGGTGTAAATGATACAAGACAACTCGCTAGCTACTCGCGATCGACTTGGTCAAAACTCGGTCAACACTCGACTCGAATAGGCTAGGCTCAAACTCGACTCGAAATATTAACGAGTCGAGTCGAGCTACCCAATACTCGACTCAAAAAACTCGTGAGATACTCGATTTGTTTATATATAATTAGTTTTAAAAATGTAATCAGTTTTATAATATAATATGTACAATATTTGAACAATATTGTGCATTTTTAACTATAAAAACTAATCAATAACTTTTTCTAAAAAATTATAATTAAAAAAGACAAAGAAACTATAAAAGTTTTGGTAAAGTTGTCCCACATTGGAATAGAGATAGTAAAAGAAGGATGAAGAGGTATTATAAAAAGAGAGGGAGGTGGATGAAGTTTGTAACTTTGTTTTTTTCTTGTGATGAAGTTTAAGGTGCATCTCTTTAATTAGTTTTTTTAAAATTTAAGGGAACACATTTAAGTTTTATAATTTATAAGAGAAGACCCTAAAATTTCATAAATTTCGACGGGTGAGCTTGATTCAAGTTCGAGTTTGGTTCAAGTTGGAGCTTTATTTGTGTAAGAGTTCGAGCTTCAAACGAGTTCGAGCTCAAGTTTAAAAAACTGAAATCGAGTTTGAGTTGAGTTTAGTTTTAACTACTCGCGAGTTTTCGAGCTTGAGAAATGGCTATCGAGTTTGAGTCGAGTATATTGATACTCGAGCTCGACTCGCATCATTTACACCCCCTAATGAAACTTACTTRGGTCATGACKATTGWAAATTTGWTGGGTTTTTTCAACTTTACAAATAAATTTGATTCTTACCAAATCGTTAACCAATATATYTTCAATTTCCTCCGTAATCCATAATCGGGAGTGTCTTCTAGGCTCATTAAGGTTTGAACGACGAACAATGTATCTCCCCATTTCTTCTATATGGTCATGTATCTTCAAGCGCCTATATTTAGAAATAGTTATGAGAGATTTGTTCTGAAGAACAGTCAAACCATGTATAGCATGAAATTCACGGCTTTCAAGTGCTATGATTGCTTCTTCTTTCACCCAACCTTTCAATATGCATGCAACATCTAGGAATATTTCCTTGCAATCGGTATCTAGACCCATGTAGCTTAACTCCGGCTTTTGTAGAGTTTCATCCAATGGAATTTTTTTAAGTCTTGCTAGGGTATCTACCCATACATGCTCCTTTGCATTACAGAGAAACGAACCCAAAACTGTGATTGTTAAGGGGAGACCAGTAGCATAACTGATAAGTGTTAATTTATTAACCTTATTACATCATTTTCTTAACCATTTTCCGTTGTTTTATTTGCCCATTAGTGTCCTAATTGAGTCTTTTTATATCTTTTTCATATATTAGTAGTTATATTGTATATCTAATGATAATTCACTGTTTATGCAGGTTTTTACGCATTTTTGGGCCCGGTCCTGCGGCAGTCCTACAGGACCAGGAGTAGCAAGGTCCTATAGGACCTATCCGAGTGCTGGAAATCTTTTGGGCCGAGGAAAGATGGGCTAATCCAAAGAGAAGGCTTGGTCAACACCCTTGGGCTTAGTCAAAGCCCAGCTTGGAGGGATCTTTTGTCTTATTAGTTGGCATCCACAATGAAACTTCTCTTAGCCTATATAAAGGACTTTTAGGCTTTTGTAAAAAAACTAACTTACTTACTTATTTTTGCTACCTACTCTTTTCACCAACAAAAACCATTTAGTTACTTAACCATCTTATTGTACTTTTTGATAATCTTGTGTTGGCTACTCTCAAGAACATCATCTTTGGTTCTAAGTTTTCGTTTCTTGTTGTTTGATGTTTCAAGAACCGATTTTTGTAAGTTATGATCGTATTCTCAAAGTTT